ATATCGGTTATTGGCTACATGAGTTTTAAAATATCGGCATATCGGATATCGGGCAAAATCCCAATATCGTGCATCCCTAACATCTACAATAAAATACAAACACAAATAGCATTATAATGACAGTTAAGAAGGAGATGTGCTGTAATCTTAATCTTCGGCATCGATGGTTGAACCACAGCAACAAAGGTTTTTCAGTGGCCTTGTCAAAGTTTAGAATTAAAAACTCACAAAAATAATTCAACCTTCCCACCATGCCCCTAAACTCTCCATCATTGCAGAAGAGTGTGGCAACATTCCTCCTCATGTGGGAGAGTCAATGCAGAGACTTCAAGTTTTTATTCCCCCACCGAGTAGTGAGTTTTAGGAGAATAACTTTTTCAAATAGGGTCAGTTTGAATGGGAAAAAAATCATATGTTCTTTAAATAAATTGAAATATCATTTGAGAACTGCATGTCTATCTCTGCCACACATTTGTGGAATGATTGGAAAGTTAAAGTTTGATGGTTAAATCTTAAAACTAAACTCACAGATCCTCCTAACCACCTTCAGCTCTGACTGAACCTTTATTTTACCTCAGGCGTTCGTGGATCTGACGAGAGAAATCTTCGAGCTGGTCCGGAACGGTGACATCCAGATCCAGGATGGCTGGGAAGGCGTGAAAAGCGGATTTGTTCCCAACACGGTCCATTCCTCTGAGGAGGTCACAAAAGGAAGTCGGCAGTGTTTCTGCTGATGAATGCAGCACCTGAGCTGGAAGGTGGTATAAATATATCGTTTTTGGGACTTACTCACTTTACTCTCACATGTACGGCTCTATAAAATCATCCGTTTAAAGCTAAGCTCAGATTCCTGACAGATATAGAAGCACAAGAAGCACCCCAACCTCTCACCATTTCATCTGCATGTTTATGTGTTTCTGAAGCTTTTGGAAACTGCGGCCACCGTTGGCCTTTTTTCTCTAGTGATCCCTCCTGGGGCTGGATTTGTTGTAGCCAGAGACTCAAACTGCTAGACTGGTGTCCATCTGCGTTTCATCAACATGATTTCAGTTTTGGTCCCAAGACTGAACCTCACTGCACCAAAACCCGTTACAGAGGAATTATAGAAAGTAATCCTGACTGCTCAAGTGTCCGCCTGTGCTATGACTATGACTGGCTCTAAACATGCAGGACAAGAGAAACATCCAACCAAGCCAAGCTGAGAGGTTTCCTCTAACCGCTGGATAATCTTCTGTAGCCGCTCACTGACTGCCTTTAAGACTTGATCATAGGAAGACTGCAAAAACGATCGTTTTCCTACGAATGTTTCTGATGGATCTGATAAGAGTGTATGCATTTGCGTAGACCCCCCCCCAACCCAAAAAAGGGTTTTAAAAAGAGGTAGTTTCATGTTGTGCATCTCTTTAATTTATATAATACAGTATACCCTGCAAACTCTATGTGCTGTGGCAATTCTTCTCTGTATTTAGCCAAAAAGATAAAGTAATATATTTTTTTCTAGTAGGCTATATATCACACATCTAAATTGTATTACATTTGAACCATTTAATTCACATTTATTCCTGTTTAATCAGCCATGTTTAATGTTTACACCACACACTATGGCATCAGTTCATAAAAGCTTACAAATTATGCAGAGTACTTCATTTGAAATCAATCCTAAACTCTTCTCTGGGGTAAAATATTAGTGGTGAGTTGAAACGGTAAATTCTGATTACATAAAACAAGTTATTCAACATGACAGAAAAGAGATTCAATAATATTTTTTGTGGAGCTGCACAAAAAAGGAAATGGACTGAATTATTAAGGAGTCTTACCCCAAAAGAGCTGCTTTTCAAAGTAAAAGCTTCTAGGAAGCTTTCAGGATTGTTCCCTGATTTCTCTCTAAAAAAACAAAAAAAAAACATTTATGCTGAAACTCCCTGTCAGAAAAGCTTTGGAAAATCTCATATGCAATGTTCCCAGAAAGATAGGCTATTAAATGGTGCCCTGGTCCCTCCTTGTGTTGTTAACTAACTAAGTTAAAGGTAAGAATTTATTTTATATTGGGTTTTGTGGCACACAATGCAGCACTAACCAGCAGCCAGGAGGGAAGGCCAATTCAACACTTGGGGCTGCTTCTTCTTTACTCACTGTAAACAAATAAAGAATTAGAAAACCTATTTAGGGGCCAAGTAACAGATAAACTATGTTTATTTCATTACAGTAGGTACACAACTTATAAGGGAGCATTAGGCGAGGCTCCCTTCAGTTTCTCATAGCCTTTAAGGAGCTTTAAGTGGATGTTTTCTGATATTTTTAGTTACAACTTAAACTTTAGCATGTTGTCAAAGTTCCAGATAACTTTTAGGATAGCTGTGGGGAACATACACTGAGGATTTCTTAAAAGTTGCATGGCCCGATGTTAAAACGAACCTTTGGAGATTCTTTAGGGAGTTTTCAACTGTAAAATACAACAATAACATTCAAAATCTTTTTTTAAAAGTCATTATTTCCTCTTTCTGATATTTAAAACGTAACTTTATAGATTCTTCTTTCTCCACAGGTGCTTACATCGCTCTCACATTTCACCACTGGCCTAAAGCTTTTATAAATTAGCTTTCATTTGCATCAAAACTAAGGCGTTGGGATTTCACCTGAAACAGTAAAATTTTTAAAGGGAAATTCAAATTTTTACAAAATACATCACAAAATGAATATAATTTCCTGATTCATGTTTATCGACAGCTGTGCAATCAATAACATTGCAGATATAGAGTTAAGAAGTCATATATGAAAAAACAATAATAAAAAGAAACATGGCTTTAATTCAAAAGATATAAATTAATTTAAACTCAAATTGTAATAAGTACATTTATTATTTCCCTATAAAATATTTCTTTCAACTCAGCGTTTAACTTTTTTAATGTGTTCAGTTTGTGATGGTCGACGTTTAAAATGTAAATGGAAACATAAATAACACAGTACGCTTGATATAGTTTATTTTAATCCAAAACCTGATAAAGTTTTTTTGTCGCTATGGGTCTGAATTTATGCATTTAAAGTGTTATCTGTTAACATCAATAATGGTTTTGTTTGTGAAATAAATGCATAATGTTTGATAGTTACATCAAAGCTCTTGTAGTTTATAGCTGTGAACAGATGGAGTTCCCACATATGACCACTAGATGGCAGAACCATTCTTTAAAGAATCTGATTTCATTGCAAAATGCAACAAAGGTAGGCAAGAAGTAACAGCTGGAATTAGCTTTTTCACTTAGGCAGCATGAATAATATATATATTTTAATATATAGTCACAATTTATAATATATAGTCAGCAAAAAAAGAATCATTTTATCCTTTTTAAAGCAACATCTATTGGTAAAATGTCAGATATATTCTGAAACAAAACTTTAAATTTGTAAGAAGATGCATAAATGCAATAATTATCCTAAGATGGGTTCTATCTGAATCAAATATCAAACAGAAAAAGCCAATTTGGACATAATTGCACCGGCATTACCTCCTGACGGTGCTGCTTTTTGCAGCTGTGGCAACAGTACGAGTGAATAGGTGAATTACCGTAGTTAAAAGCGCTTTGGTCAAGTCTACTGACTTGAAAAAGCACTATATAAGTATACACCATTTCCCATTCAATGTAAACAAAAAAATAATATTTATTATCATCAAAGGCCTCAATGTTAGAAATGTATTTTGGTATAATACATGTTATTGTCTTGTTACCTCTCAGCCTCCTTTGGGAAGCTTTTACTTAAATTGAGTTCTTACCTTGTAAAATAGAAATGACACTTTAAAATAAGATAGAAATAAAGTACTGGAGGCCCATTTGTATGCACCATAGCAGCAGAGTTGTGTTTTAGCAATCCATAGTTAATTAAACCACATCTTTGCCACAGTGAGTGCAGATATTTGGGTAGTGGTGAATGCTGAATATTAATTATTCAAACATCAAATTTAATTTAATTCAGGGTACTTATATCAGCAGGCGTAAGGGTTGTTAGTATTGTTAAATCAACTAATCTAACAAAGATTGGAGTAAAAAACTAATAGGTGGAACACTGGGTTATCTTAGATAATGTTCATTAAGATTAATTAGCATTTTAGTAGACTGCAGGCACACCTGTGTATGAATCTCACAGAAACACTTGAAATTAATCACTTTCTGTTGTGACTTTAAACAAGAACAGAAAATGAAAAAAACAAAATAAAACTGGGTCTTAGGAAAGAGATTTGGACCTGCAAGATTCTGGCTTATTCAACTGTGTGAATATGGCACTGAGGTGTAGACAGCATTCAACCTTCAGACGGTTTAAGATTGGTTCTGTCTCAGGAGGTAAAGGACTTCTGGTGTGAAATGTATGTAGCAACCACAGAGTGAAAACAAGACTGTATGAAGCTTCTGGTTGAAGCAAGTTAGAGAGCATCAACATCCACAGTGAAGTGAGTCCTGTACCAACATGGTATCAACAATAATTACCCGTTTGTTTCTAAAAAGCCACTCAGGAAGGAAGAGGTAAATATCTATATATATAAAAAAAGACAGACTACAGGAAAATACCTTTTTTCAGTGGAAACATTTCTTGGGCTGAGGATGATACATTTTTTTTTTTTACCTACACAAAAGCTGTTGGCCTAAAAAGAACAACCCATCCGTGAGGTACGGAGGTGGTATCATCATACTGTGGTATCTCTGAAGGAGTGGTAGGAGTCTTCACTGTATAGACGTGGTGGGGACAAGAGACAGTCTGCTATAGGATTTTCTGGTAGAGGATAAAATCCATAATTTAATCAGTTATGACAAGTCCTTCAGCCTGAAATCAGGCCCAGAGCATCACCCTACCTCCATCATGCCGAACTAAAAGCGCTTTTTATTCAACAAAAGGAAGTCTTTTGTTAAGTCAGTTTATAGATTTTTTTCCCCCTAAAACTCAGGAGAATATGACATTATTTTTGGAAAACATTAAGAAGCTATTGAGACCAGGGCATGTGACTTCTAGCAGGGAAGGCATTTTTTTTTTTTAATGGCAACTAAGCTTAAATAAAACAAGACTGGAGTCATTTTGGAATGCTGGTTACTTCCAAAAAGAGTAATTGATCCGTTTTCTTTGTTTTGGAGTCATTTTCTTCCCAGATTAGCAAATTATAAATCTTTTTTTTATATCTCTATAGTTCGGGACATAATGTCTTCTTCCTTATAGGAGATCTTTAAACCTACTTTGTCTGGCAGGTTCTATTTGAGTAATCGAAGAGGAGCAGTTACTTAGTGCGCTTTTTTAATATTTTATTCCAACACTAGAATGGATGTTATGCAAATACTGCAAATACTTTTCAAAGCACTATATTTTAACAGAAACCTTTTCTCACACCAAACCAAACAGGAAGTAACAGAGGCACGAAAAAGGGTACAAAACAGTTTGTACCTCATGAACTTCCGTTTCTGAACTTTACTTTTACTACTAGTTCATATAAAGTTTTGCAATCATTTTAACATTTATTTTCCTTCTAGAAAAAAAAACTTTTACTCAAAGAAATAGAAAATATCTTTTATACAAAAAGGAAATGTCCTTCTGTTGAAAGTTATTGCAGAAATAAAAATTTAATCAGGAAGTAAACTAGTTTAGTCCTGCTTTTGTCTGGTTTCAGAGCCAAAGCTGTCCTCACATAAGGTAGGGCTTTTTGCAACCAACCAAAATGTGTTTGATCAGTAAGGTGAGTAATCAGTGAGTCATGGTAAAACTGTGACGTCTGACATTCAGCTTCAACTCTGCGAAAAAAAACGAATGTTCTGAGAAAAAGAACAAGCAGAGACGTCGGTGCCAAGAGCATCAATCACTTTTATTAAAAAAAGAGAAAGAATAATTAAAACGTTGCTCATTTTACACAATAAAGCATATGTACAGAATATAAAAAAAAAAACTGAAGTCAATTGTTGGTCAGGGGGGAAATGATTGGATCGATTATTCGAAAAGGCACGAGAGCAGGTTGTGACGAGCTCAGTGAGTCATTGCTCCTTCATAACACATTTCAGTGGCCAGTAAGTGTGAAAAACAGAAAGTTCAGATCGAAAAGTTTCACAATTAAATTCACAAACGGTTCTTTCTCACCTTCCGTAAACAAACGAAAACCAACCGGTTATTTAAAAACAATTTAAAGATATGTTTCAAAGCTTCCATGGGAGCTTTTTTCTTTTTATTCTCAAATAATTTTATAGTCTGGGCTTCAGCAGCATCAGTTCAAGTGTAACTTTACAAAAACCGTCTCATCAAGTTTGTCTTTAAGGTTATATGTCAAAGAAAGTTTGTTTTGCAAATTTACAGCAATATACAAGATATTTAAACAAATACTGTACACTCTACAGTAAAGCACTTTTACTATGACAACACAAAAAAAAAGCTATTAACAGGTTATTAATCTGACTAAAAACACTGGAGATAAAAAAAATATTGGAATAATTTAAACGCCAGCGTTGTGGTCAATATTA